ACCAACTAAAAGACCATATTATGACTTGTTTTTCTCATGTTTTGTTTTCAATGAATAATTAGATGCAAATCCAATTGAAACTTTGATTTTGTAAATGGTGATCACTCTTCAATAACTTGCGAATTGATTGCTAATGAGCCCATACAGTGGATTATAGACACTAGCTTCCCATGACTTAAACTTCTTTCCTTACTCTCTCAATCAGTTGCTAATTTAGATTGTTTGTAAAATGAAATCGACTTGTTTAAATTGGTTTACAACAGAAGGATTGATTACTTGCAAGTATAAACAGTATAACCAACTAACAATTGAACAAATGGATGACATCTAACTTATTGACAAAGTACGAGTACATTTTCCAAAAGACCCTCGCTCGCACTTTCGTACAAATTCTCTTTCCTTTAAAAAGAAACTCTAGAGTACAATTAACAAAACAATAAAAAAACAAACAAACAACACAATCAGAAGAAACGTAAGATGAAGTATGAAAATTTGGGTAACACTGGCATGAAAGTCTCCAAAATCTGTCTCGGATGCATGAGTTTCGGCTCACCAAAATGGTTTGATTGGGTTTTGGAAGAACCAGAATCAATGATCATTCTCAAGAAGGCCTGGGAGTTGGGTATTAACTTCTTCGACACTGCCAACCTTTATTCGAATGGTGAAAGTGAGAGAATTTTGGGTAAATTCATTAGGGAGAATAACATTCCGAGAGAGGAAGTTGTTATTGCTACTAAGGTTTTTGGTCCGGTTGACAAGAGTGGAGAACAAAGGTACCTACCGTTGAGTGATGATAAGAAGGTGAATACTCATGGATTGTCGAGAAAGCATATTATGCATGCTGTTGAGGAATCATTGGAAAGATTGGGAACAGATTGTAAGTATTGTTGAAAATTGCAAAGTTCAGTTGACTGAATATTGTAAACAGACATTGATTTATATATTATTCATCGTTGGGATCCAGACACTCCTATTGAAGAAACCATGGAAACTTTACATGATTTGGTAAAATCTGGAAAGGTCAGATATATTGGTGCCTCTTTAATGTTTGCTTGGCAATTTGCTAAAGCTCAACATTATGCTGATAAGAAGGGATTGACCAAGTTTGTTTCCATGCAAAATCTCTATCATTTACTGTATAGAGAAGAGGAAAGAGACATGATTCCAATGTGTTTGGATCAGGGAGTTTCCTTAACTCCATATAGTCCACTTGCTAAGGGAATTTTGGCAAGAGCTCACGAATTTGTCAACTCTGAGAAAACAAGCAATGATGAGGATGAGGATGAGAAATCCAAGAGAGCAAATTCAGATTTCATTCAAAAACAATTCCAAGAAACCATAACTGAAGGTGATAAGGAAAATTTGAGAAGAGTTTCAGAATTGGCTAATAAGAAGAATGTCTCACCAGCTCAAATTGCTATTGCTTGGCTATTGAAGAAGCCAGGAGTTACCAGTCCAATTGTTGGTGCCACAAAAGTATCGAATATTGAATCGTCTATTGCTGCTTTGGATATTGAACTCACCACTGAGGAAGTCAAATATTTGGATGAATCCTACACAGCCAAAGCACCTCATCCAGTTGGTGTTAGAAAGTAATATATACATTCGTTATCAAGAATCCTATCATGCTGGATTAAATATCATTTCGAACTGTTTATTATAATTTCAAAAGAAACAAAACCCATGACCAATTTTAACAAATTTTCCATCATTTACATCTGAATTATCAAATAGCACTTCAATGAAGAGGATTATCACATTATTTTATTAAAAATTTTATTAATTATTAAATTAACTCTGTTAAAGCTTTAGTTTTAACACGAAAGGCAATAATATTCAGTATTAAGATTTTAAGGTATTGAATGGCTACGGCCATATCACGATGAATGCACCTCATCCCGTCCGATTTGAGAAGTTAAGCATCGTCGAGCCACATCAGTACTGAGGTTGGAGACAACTTGGGAACCTGTGGTGCTGTAGTCTTTTTTTCTTTCTGTTGCTGTAAAATAGAAACAAGTCGATCCTTGTTTTTCTATTAGATACTTCTAATTGTTTCACATATTATATACATTTATTTATTGTTGAATATTCTCATTGTAAACTAACCGCCTCCTTTCTTCCTCCTCATCATTAATAGTTTGCTGCTGAGAAACTTTGGCCTTTCCAAATCTATTAATGAAAATTCTTTGATACCATTTCATTTTCCTCACTGGAAAAACTTGTTGCAACAAAATTGCCATCAACAATGAAGGAATCATTAAAATGGAAACTAAAACTGAACCAAAAAAAATTAATAACCAAGTTGGGATGGAATCTGTTGCATGTGTTGCGTAATAATTGAGAATTTGATTGATTTCTTGTTTGGTTTGGGGTTCAGATAGTTTTGTAATGGTTGCATTGATAATTTCTGAAACAATTGTGGAAAAGTCAATGTCATTTTGTTTGAGAGATGATTTGACAGTTTCAATAACTTGTTGATTAGTGAATTGTTGGGCCATTTGATTAATGATTGGTTGGGAATACTGTAATGAGTTTTGGAATAATTGATTGAATGGAATATTATTGAGAAGTGTTGAAATATTTTGAGAGATTGCTGACATGGCATTATTTGTTACTGCTGTGATTTGATTCTTGTTGAGTACGTCGATAATGGCTTGTGAAACTTGAAATCTAATATTTGTTGTTACATTGTTTACAACATTTTCAATTGCTTGTTCCAATTTTTTGAAGAGTTTTTCGAAAATATTCGAATCAGCTAGAGAAGGAAGGGAAAACCTTTCGTCCACAGATCTTCCACTGCCGGTGTGATGAGGATTATGATTAGGAAGGTGATTGTTAGGCTCGGAGAGTGCGGTTTTA